GGCACCATGTTCAGGGCGGGTAGGATGGACTCATCGAGCATGTTAAAAATGGCCTGGTAGACAACGTCCGGAGAGGCTTTACGTGAGGCCTACGAGAAAACAGAAAAAAAGTAGACAGTTAGTGTTGGGGACATAGAGAGCGGGTGGCTGAGATTGGCAAGGCTGCTGACATCAAGGTGCGGCATCACTCACAAGCAGGGAGACGTAGGGGATGCAGATGCGACAGAGCTTCACTATCAGGACCACATCGTGCGAGAGGAAGGGTCCCAGGTAGCCGGTGATGGGTAAGACGAAGCGACCAAGGCTCTGAAAGTCGGTAGCGGGTTGTAGGTCTAGTACGGTAGTCGATCCAGTGGCAAAGAGTTCGGGCGTTTGTGGTTTCTTGCGACATTTCATAAGACAGCTGGGCAGGGGGCAGACGCTGTAGGTGGTGTGAAAGGTAGCGGTGGGGGGGGTCTGTTAGGCGTGGTACAATTCCCTTAAACTGTATACTAGAATAAGCCACTGTGTTGTGTGCAACCAACAAAAACCGGGGAAAAATGAAAATCGACTTTTTACTTACTCCTCACAGACAGGGCAGTATCTGAGCAAAAAGTTACACAGGAGAACTGGAAGAATAATATGCTCAGGTAATAGGGCTATATTAGAAGCATAAATAACTATTACGGTGGTCTGAGGGATAAAGAACTGGTGCGACGAATACGGCGTTTGTGTGATGATTTGCTAAAGAATAAACAAGAGGGAGCAAAATCGACAGTTTTCATTGGCCTATGACACTAAATCGATACTACATAATTAACATCGAATCGTGGTGTTTTGTTGCACCCGACAGTCAGTGACCGACACAAATCTTGCTATAAGCTGCTGTTAGTAAATGTCACAGCCATTTCGTGGTAGCGCATCTAGAGCAGAAAGGCAAGAATGAAGGGAACACGAGAAAGGGGACCCGTCAGACGCTAAAAATCTGTCAGCAGGTTCATCTACTAACTGGCACGTCGGCGACGAGAGAACCGTTAAGTCTCCGTCGACGCCGCAAATAAATTTATCG